CTGCTGATGTTCCTGGAGGGCCAAAGGTCTCTTAAGTTAGCTTGTCATGAATGCTGCCTCTTCAGGGCAGTGGGCTCCCCTCTAGCCCAGGACAGGTCCAGAAATGCTATCGAAGAGTCAAGTTCTAGAATCAGGGGCCCCAAGAGCCTGCTTGGTGCTGTGTCCCTCTGTGGCCATGCTGGTGCCTAAGGTGCAAGACAAGGTCCCCTTACTTTTCCCTCTGCTTTTCTCAAGCGGAAGGAGTTTTCCTCTGTAGCCACCACAGCTGGTTATGTGCTGAGTCTCACCTGACGCCAGCAAGTGTCAGGCTCACCAAAGGCCCTTGATGTAGTACCTGGATATCACTGCTGGTTATTCAGGGTCCAAGGTCTCTTCAATTAACAGGTGATGAATGCTGGCAGGACTGGGCCCTTCCCTTCAAGGCAGCAGGTTCCCTTCTGGCCCAGGGTGTGTCTAGAAATGTCTGGGAGCTAGGCCCTGGAACAGGGGCCTCCTGATTCTGACCAGTGCCCTGTCCTACTGTGGCTGGACTGGGATCTGAGATGTAAGACACAGTCCCCCCGATACTGTCTCCTCCCTCAAGTGGAAGGGGGCTCTTTGGGAGCTGAGAGCTGTGCAGCCTGGGGTTAAGGGAGGGATGATGCCATATGTCACCACCCCTCCCTGCCCCCTGTCAGTTCACTGTCTCTGGGCCTAATTCAGCACTAGGACTCACCTAAGAGTTGCAGTCCTTATGGGCTAGACTGCCTTTCAACTTGACTTGGAGAGAGAGAGTGCTGCAGCCCTCAGTGATGAGGTTTGCGGGCACTTAAGTTCAGACCACTGGGATCAACAATTCCTCCCTGGCTAAGGCTGGTTGAAATGTCCCCTCCATGGGCAGGTATCAGCGGAATTGGGTCTGGTTTTCCTTTCTGCTGTAACAGGACAGCACTGAGTTCAGTGCCTCACAATTGCTGTATCTCCCTCCCATAGCACCTAGAGATGCTGTGTGCATGATGCCGCTGCTGCTGGGGTGGGAGAGGGGTCTGTTGGCGATTCAGGACTGTTTTTAAACCGCTTCAGTGCCTCTTTCAGCGATACGAAGTTAAAACCAGGTACTGTAAGTGCTTACCTGATTTGTGGTTCTTATGAAGGTGTTTTTTTCTGTGTGATAGTTGTTAATTTGGTGTCCTTGCAGGGGGATGATCAGGGGAGCTTTCTATTCCGCCATCTAGCTCTGCTCCCTCTCTATAGTTTAAAATATTTGAGGTATGTTAGGGAAGGTCTCATCTTGTTTTTCAGAAAGCGAAACTGTTTTTGTTCATTATTCCTATAACATTTACGCACCTCAGAATGGCTAAACTCCAAAATATAGCACCAAATGCTTCCAAAGATACAAAGGAACATTCATTTCTGTGGTAATTCAAATGGCAGAGGTTGCAGTGAGCCGAGATCACGTCACTGCACTCCAGCCTGGGTGACAGAGCAAGATGCTGTCTCAAAAAAAAAAAAAAAAAAAAAATCACAAAGTGATCTCATTTCACACAAACTAGATACGTAGAAATACATTATTCCACATGACTGGCAGCATTGGAATTATCTAAATACACATGCAAGAATGGTGGGAGGGTCAATTCATATACTCCATTGGGACTTGGTGGCAGTCTTAAAGTTGCTCAGAATCTACAACCCAGCACGTTTTTTTAAATGTATAGAGAATTTACTGTGCACAGGCACATGGGGACTTAAAATATGATTAGAGCAGCATTTTCCATAAGAACAAAACACAAAATTGAAGCATCATGAGTCCTATAGATACTGGAATGGATGAGCAAATTGGGTAGCCCAAGCCTCAGACACCAGCATGTGTGAAACAACTGGGGCAAAAACTAAGGAGACACCTACCCATTATTTCCTTCCATAGAAAGTGCAAAAGAGGCAAACTTAAGCAAAACATTGCTTGGTGATAAAAATAATGGTATAGCCATAAAGCATATCCACAAAATTACGGGCAGTGGTCACCTCTGGGGACAAGAGGGAAACAAAGTCAAGGTGAAGCAGCACTGGGAGATATGACATGCACAGGGTCTGTTCATTCTGAGTGCCCAGTATATAGAATTTTACAGTTATGATTAAACATAAAACATCCTATGCATTCTATAATAAGTATGCTGTATTTCACTACGAAAATATAATTCAGCTGGGTGTGGTGGCTCACGCCTGTAATCCCAGTACTTTGGGAGGCCAAAGCAGGAGGATCATTTGAGGCCAGGAGTTCAAGACCAGTCTGGGCAACATAGTGAGACCCCCATCTCTACCAAAAAAATAAAGTAATTCTTTAAGCATGAAAAACAACTTTCAAATATTTATTTTGCTATGTTTTCTAACTACCTTCCCAGTTCTCATTGTTCACTGCCTTAGTTCAGGACACATTTATAAGTCTTTTAGACTGTACCTATTGCTATTCACCTTGATTTCAGCAAGAAATGACTAGTAAAAGAGTGGGAACATACTCATGTTTAATAGAGAACTGGCTACATAAACTTCCATCTTTTAAAAAAATGTATTTATTTAAAAAATTTTTGTGGGGAGACAGGGTCTCACTCTGTTGCCCACGCTGGAAGTATAGTGGCACACAGTTCACTGCAGCCTTGAAATCCTGGGTTCAAGTGATCCTTCCACCTCAGCCTCCCAGGTCGCTGGGACTGCAGGCATGTGAGCCACCACAACTGGCTCAACTTCTATCATCTTGTGAACCTTTATAAAAATTAGGGAAGGCACCAGTGGATATGAAAAAAGCTGCAGGATTTATTTTGAAATGAACAAAAAAGCAAAGTGTGTAAACCATGTTGCCTTTTATAGTGAGGAAAGAAAAATATGTAGTTTAAATTACTTTTTATGTAAATGCTGAACAGACAAAGTAATAAAATTGTTACCTTTGGGAACCTGAGGCCACTAGGCAGGAATGCTAGAGGACATGCTAAGAGTGAGCCTTCAGGTAGACTGCTTCTAAATCTCAGGCTAGGTTTTGGGTGGGTGGGTGTGTGTGTGTTTACACACAGGGTTTTTTGTTTTTGTTTTTTTTTTTCTGTAGAGACAAGGTCTTGCCATGTTTCCCAGGTTGGTCTTGAACTGGCATCAAGTGATCCTTTGGCCTGAGCCTCCCAAACAGATATGAGTCACTGTGCCCAGCCTCAGGCTGAATTTTTGAATCTTAACATTGACTATAAACAATGATTAAGAAAATTTGCATTAACTATATTTTAATAGTTCATAAATCAGATGACTAATTTTTAACAGGAAACCAGTTCTCTGTGTTAGAGTCCTCTAAAGAAGTTTTATGAAATGATCAGTATGTTTTTGCAAACCATAAGAAATCGTTAGGCACATAAAGATGGGAGCAATGGACACTGGGGACTGCTGGAAGGGGGAGGGACGGTGGAGAGTGAGGGCTGAGGGACTGCCTGTTGGGTGCTGTGCTCACTGCCAGGATGACAGGCTCATCCATAGCCCAAACCTCAGTGTCACAGTGTTCCCATGTGACAGACCTGTACATGTACCCACTGAATCTAAAATAAAAGTTGAAATTATTAAGAAGGTAAATAAATAGAAATGTATATTTTTTGTGATATGATTCCTGATGTTCGTGAGATGTGGGTTTGTGTATTCTATCCCAGGAATCTTTAAAAAATAAACGTTAACAAAAAATTTTTTTATCACTTGAGCTCAGTAGTTCGAGACCAGCCAGGGCAACATAGCAAAACCCCATCTCTACAAAAATTTTAAAAATTAGCCAGGCATGGTGGCATGTGCCTGTAGTCCCAGCTACTTGAGAGGCTGAGATGGGTAGACGGCTTAGAGCCTGTGAGGCAGAGGTTGCAGTGAGCTGAGATCATGCTACTGCACTCCAGCTTGGGCAACAGAGTGAGACATGTCTCAAAAAAAAAAAAAAAAAAAGAAAAAGAAAAAAAGAATTTTAAACATGTGGTTCTTAAATAAAATTATAAGTGATATTACAAGTTGTACTGCCATCACATCAAACTGCAGGGCATTTTTTGATATGGACAGAATCTTAAGGCATTAGGATGGCGTAACAGTATGAGGAGCTTCACTAACCCACTCCCCAGAGAAACTTGTGACAGTTACTTTAAAACAACCATTTAAAGCCCCTGGAAGTCATCCTAAAGGCAGACAGCCAGTGAGGAAAACTATTCAAGAGAATCTATGAAAATTCTTTGAGAAATATGAATCTATGGTATTTAAACCCTTACTGTTTTCTGATCCTGCACCCCACATCCTCACCCCAGTGAGGTGAACACTCCACTCTAGACTGTGTAGCCAAGGATACAAGGTTCTCTGTTTCCCCAGTGTAAGAGTTAAAGAGGAAAGAGGCTGGGCGTGGTGGCTCACACCTGTAATCCTAGCACTTTGGGAGGATGAGGCAGGCGGACTGCCTGAGCTCAGGAGATTGAGATCAGCCTGGGCAACACGGTGATACCCCATTTCTACTAAAATACAAAAAATTAGCCAGGCATGGCAGTGTGTGCCTGTAATCCCAGCTACTCAGAAAGCTGAGACAGGAGAATCACTTGAACCCGGGAGGTGGGGTTGCAATGAGCTGAGATCGCACCACTGCACTCCAGCTTGGGCAACAAAGTGAGACTCTGTCTTTAAAAAAATGAAAAAGGGGGCCGGGCGCAGTGGCTCACGCCTGTAATCCCGGCACTTTGGGAGGCCGAGGCGGGCGGATCACGAGGTCAGGAGATTGAGACCATCCTGGCTAACATGGTGAAACCCCGCTTCTACTAAAAATGCAAAAAATTAGCCGGGCGAGGCGGCGGGCGCCTGTAGTCCCAGCTACTCGGGAGGCTGAGGCAGGAGAATGGCGTGAACCCAGGAGGCGGAGCTTGCAGTGAGCCGAGATCGCGCCATTGCACTCCAGCCTGGGCGACTAAGCGAGACTCTGTCTCAAAAAAAAAAAAAAAGAAAAGAAAAAGGAGGAAAGAAACACCAAACACTGCTTGATAGTCAAAGACAGGTTTATTATAGAAAAGACCTGAGAGAGGCTTCTGGCTGATTTCAGTCAGGAGCACTTTTCCTTGCAGACTAAGAGCATATATTGGTTTTAGGGTGAGGGAGCTTATTACAAGCTTAGAATGTTTCTGTGTGAGGGAGAGGAATGTTTCTGTATGAGGGGGAAGTTTATGGTGGGGTTGGAATGTTCTGGGCAGAGAGGCGGTTATCTTGGGGGTGACATCTTTCTGGCAGGACAGGGGTTATCCCGAGGTTGCATGTCTCTGTGGGAGGTGTCTGGAATGTTTTTGGTTGGAGATGTTATGTGTGGTTTATGGTCATGCTGACCTTAGCCATTAGGCTGATGCCCTTTGGATTTAGGCAGTTTTTGATTAAGGTGAATTTTAAAATGAGGTGCTTATCCACGATGGTGATGCTCCTGCCGTCAATCCAGACCTTATAGTTATAAAAAGGATGAGGGGCAGCATGTTCTTTCTGGCTACTTCCTGCTGATGAGGGGACAGAGAGTTCCCTGGTTTCGGGTTGACTGTAGGAGCAGTGCTGTCTGTAGATGTTTTTGGGTAGTTGTTTGTGAAATGGCCATGATCCTGTCAGTTTAAAAAGTCTTTGAAAAAGGTTAATTAGGCAGGGTAAGAACAGTAGTCCCATAATTAGGAATATTATTATGAGAGGGCCCAGGAATGGGATGACCCATGCTATGATTTTGTTCCCAAACCAAGAATCTATTTGCTTGTTTTGGTACTCCTTAGCTTTTTTAGCTTTTTCTGTAACTTTTTTTTTTAGCGCTTTTTACTAGGTCTGATTGGCTGATATAGAAACAATATTCCTTACCTAATGAGAGCAGAGGTGCTGGTTTGGAAAGCCCATGTGTTATTTTCTGCTAGCAACCATTATTCCTGCTATGAGGATAATAAGCAAAATGCTATAGTAATTGAGATTCTATGTCTGATATTTTACCCTGAGGGTGCTACAGTATATAGTCCTACTGCAAATAGTAGAGTGAGTAAAGCAATTCCCACAAGGGTGGCATAGTAAATAATTTTCATTAAAAAGTTAATATTTGACTTAAAAGCAGAGGTAGGAACGATAAAAGTATTTGATGAGGTAGAGGTGAGACTGAATAGGATGAGTAATTCTCACTTGGTTACTTATTTTTTTATGATTTTTAGCTTAAGATTTCCTATTTATTTCCTCCTATGAGAGTCAGGGGGCTTAGAGGCAGAGCCTGCTGAAACATCAAGTTTTCAGTTTATAGAGCTTTTAGAAAGCACAGCTATTTTGGAAACTTGTAGCCAGAAAAATTAGAATTTAATTTAAACAGAAAATAGCAAGATTTGAAAAACATTGGGCAACACCAGAATTTAACAACAGGTGTGCTATCGTTTTTGAAGCATAATTTTCTCTCTCAAGTTTACCATTTTCATTAAAAGACAAATCATGCTAGTAGGACTGAGTTTCTTTATTATACTTGGCTTAGTTATTTGCATACAGTGGAGCAAGAATAATTATTTGTTACATAGGCCCTTTAAATTGGCTTTGATGGAACTTTGTTTCGTAGAAGGAATCTGAGCTAAGACCTTTTTAAAGGCAAGCCCAGCCATGGATTTGTACCATTGAATACCTATGAGTTGGGTGAATTCCTCTCCTCTTGAGGTTCCAAGATAACTTGGGACTCCTGGCCTGTCAAAATGTGACATTCTTTACTTACCACAGATCAGAAACCCTGTACAGGGACTGTGTACACAAAATCTGAGGCCAGCTTTCCAAGGGCTTTATTGGCTCCATAAGTCAAATTTGATTCCTTGAAGGAAGGCACACCATTCCAGGCAAAGCCTTGGTAAAATAACCAGTTTTTCCAATTGTGTCCTGTTACAAAAGAAAACATTCCTGGTTGCACTTATGGAAATAACTATACTACCATAACTTACGAATACTTACAGATAGTTTCCAAATTCTGGAGAAAATCAGGTAGAGAGAAACAAGTATGCTCCAAATTTTGTTCATGGAAGCATACTAAATTGTTAAAAGCTGTCAATAGCTCAAAAGAAAATATTCTTGGACTTTGAAAAGCAAAACAAAGGATTAGCAATATTTTAAGCAATACGTTAAAAAGATCACTCCAGGCTGGGTGTGGTGGCTCATGCCTGTAATCCCTGTACAGGCTCATGCCTGTAAACTCCCAGCACTTTGGGAGACCGAGGTGGGTGGATCACCTGAGGTCAGGAGTTCAAGACCAGCTGGGTAACATGGTGAACCCCCATCTCTACTAGAAATACAAAAATTAGCCAGGCATGGTGGCATGCACCTGTAATCCCAGCTACTTCGGAGGCTGAGACAGGAGAATTGCTTGAACCCAGGAGGAGGCTGCAGTGAGCCGAGATCATGCCACTGTATTCCAGCCTGGGCTACAGAGCAAGACTCTGTCTTAAAAAAAAAAAAATCACTCCAGTCGCCTACAGTTTAGTTCATGCAGTTAATTCCTGTCCTGATTGATATTAACATTTTAGTTTTTTAAGAGTTCTGAACGTTTTCCTCTAGTCTGATACAACAATTTTCAAAGTTATCAGAAACCTGCATTCAAGGGCACATGATAGACCTTTATAGCTGATTATAAAACTAACTTTTTAAAAAGGACCAAAGCAAGACAACAATTGTTTATGGATGACAAAAAGTTTTAGGATAGGCTGGGCGCCATGGCTCATGCCCGTAATCCCAGCACTTTTGGAGGCCAAGGCTGGCGGATCACCTGAGGTCAGGAGTTTCAGACCAGCCTGGCCAACATGGTGAAACTCTGTGTCTCCTAAAAATACAAAAATTAGCCAGGTGTGGTGGTGTGCACCTGTAATCCCAGCTACTCTGGAGGCTGAGGCAGGAGAATTGCCTGAACCCAGGAGGCGGAGGTTGCAGTGAGCCGAGATCATGCCATTGCACTCCAGCCTGGGCGACAAGAGTGAAAATCTGTCTCAGAAAAAAAGTTTTAGAATAGCCATAAAGACGCAATTGACAAGGATATCTGTTACCTCTGTGGCACACAATAATTTTAACATAACAATTAGAATTATTACTTACAAGGTACACTAAGATATGTCAGAATTGTAGGAGTTTCCCATAACTTTGGAACACATACCAATAACAGTTATACAAATATAGCCCACAGAAAGCCAAACACCATTTTGTATTTGACAATGCTTCCTGTATTTTATACCAAATACACAAAATTTTACCTTTATATTAGTGCACTATTAATATTAAACTCCATTTTTAATAAAACCTTGTAGATGCATTTACTCAATTTTAATGTTTGACCATAAGATAAGATTTTTATAGACCCTTTTTAACCCTTTATATTTTGTTAAAGAGCAGGTTAGTGCTTTAAGATAAACCCACTGTGCTTTTATTTTAATGCTCAATTTACAGAAAAACTGGATGCTACCCCTTCAACTTTAGCCAATATGTTTATACAGAATTTCCTTTACAATTAACCTTCCAAAACTTGCTTAAACCTTCAAAACAATTCTTTAACTTTTTAATATAGGTAAAAATCCACAATCTCATGCCTTCTTATAATCTTTTTACTAAAAGTATATTTTACTTTCCTTACACACTTTCCACATAATTAACTTTTAGCAAACTTTTGTTGAACACCTTGGTAAGTTTGGGATTTTAATTATGTACTAGGTGTAGAGCCTAGGACCTACACAGAAGTGCAGATAAGGTCTGTGTTAGTCCAGCATTAATTCTGTGTCCTAAGTTTTACCTAGCTGTAAAGCAGGCAAGTTGTACAGGTAAGAGTTATAGGGGCATTTTATAAAGCAGTCAGGAGACCTAATCACTTTTAAATTGTATATTTCTTGCATAAATTCCATTTATAAAATTTTTCTTGCCTTTCACAGACAATCTGACATGTTTCAACTTTCTGACTTGTTGGAAACATCCCTTTCTTTAAACAACCAGTTAATTTACTTTAGGACAAAAATTTACCATATAACATTTTAAAATATAAAATCCTTTAATATCAAAGATAACAGTCCTTTCCCAAAACAAACTTCCTTCACGCCTGCGGACTAGACTGCCTAAGGCCATAAGAGTAGAAGTTAGGATATTAAACAGCTTAGGATGTAGGATTTTAATTAAATGAAAATCTTAGGATGTAGCTATTTTCATTAAACCAATATTAATGTTTCATTTATTAAAAAATTAAAGATTATTTTGTTTGGGTTGAGTCATAGTTTTGTTTTGATACCTTACAGTATTTGGCAGAGATAAAAATGAAATTGCTTGATTAATAAATGCAAACAAAAATGTATGCTGGCAACTCTTAAGACACTTCTAACTTTACTGTACCAGTAAGTTTTAAAGATTAAAGTCACGTGAACTGAAAGATCCCATAGCTTTTACTTTTCCCTTAAATATATTTGATTTAAGCACTTATTTTTTTGCCAATTAGAGTTCTTTTAATAGACATTGCACACATAACACACATATAGCCACAAAGACAACCAGAAGATTTAGTAGTTACAAGATTTTTTTTCTGCTCATTTCCCAATTGACTTATTGGCCTTTGGGTGGGGTCCTTTAAGAAAAGAGCTAGGGGCCGGGCACAGTGGCTCAAGTCTGTAATCCCAGCACTTTGGGAGGCCGAGACGGACGGACGTCACGAGGTCAGGAGATCGAGACCATCCTGGCTAACATGGTGAAACCCCGTCTCTACTAAAAAATACAAAAAACTAGCTGGGCGTGGTGGCAGGCACCTGTAGTCCCAGCTACTCGGGAGGCTGAGGCAGGAGAATGGCGTAAACCCGGGAGGCGGAGCTTGCAGTGAGCTGAGATCTGGCCACTGCACTCCAGCCTGGGCAACAGAGCAAGACTCCGTCTCAAAAAAAAAAAAAAAAAAAAAAGAGAGCTAGGAAAGCAGTTTCCAGGGCCTAATAAACAAGTAGAGCCGGAAGACAAAGACTTTGAGAGGTACTTACCTTTAATTCCAGGGGTTCCATAAGGAAAACAGATTTTCTCCAAAATGGGATTGTGGCGCCTTTTCTGTTTTCCCAAGGAGTCCCAGGCCACTTGAAGCCATTTTAGGGTCTTTTATACATGCACCAAGGGTGGCAAGACAGAGTGGAGAAAAGTAATTCAGTTAACTGGGAAAAAACCTTTTCTAGGAAAGCAAGATTTATGAAGAGAAGCCTTTTGAATGTACTCATAGCTTGGAGGAGGGAGAGACCTAGAGAGGGTTTTCATTAGGAAGAAAGGTTTGTTTGTTTGTTTGTTTTGAGATGGAGTCTCCCTCTGTTGCCCAGGCTGCAGTGCAGTGGCACAATCTCGGCTCACTGCAAACTCCACCTCCCGGATTCACACCATTCACCTGCCTCAGCCTCCGAGTAGCTGGGACTACAGGTGCCTGCCACCATGCCTGGCTAATTTTTTGTATTTTTAGTAGAGATGGGGTTTCACCGTGTTAGCCAAGATGGTCTCGATCTCCTGACCTCATGATCCGCCCACCTCGGCCTCCCAAAGTGCTGGGATTACAGATGGGAGCCACTGTGCCCAGCCAGGAAGAAAGATTTTATGAGAGGTGCAAGCTTGACACAGGGAGAGATAGGATTTAAGGTAGAAGCAGAAGAAAGTGTCAATACAGAGAACCTTTTGCCATTTGCTATTCCTGGTTATAAATTTGTTAAGGTTCCTGAGAATTTGGAAGTTAAAGGTGCCATTTTGGGCCATCAGCTGTCATTATCTAATGTGTATTGGGGCCAGGCTATGTTACAATAAAAGACTAAGCCAAGTTTGGTGAGGTTGGGAAGGAGACAGCACAGGGGAGAGGGTGTGGGAACATGGGATTGTTTGGCACCCATGTGGACTGGCAAGAAGCCACCAAGGGTGTCTGTTTTTGTTCTAGGTGTCCCCAGACAAAAGACAGAGACCCTTTCTAAAGAGGATGGTCAAGCTGAGAAGAAACTGGGCATCTCCAAGATTTCCTCTGGGTTAGTCCCACTGGTCCTCTGAGGACCAAGACAGCAGACCTGACTTTTTCTAGGTACTGTGAGAAAGCCAGGGGAGGGCAGCTCTTACCAGTCAGCTGGATTAGTGTCTCATGTTGATGTTCCAGTTGGCCTCTTGGACTGCAGCTGTACAAGGGAGGGAGAGAGAGAAAAGGGAGGATGAGAGAAAAGCGAACAAAGAAAAGACGGAGTGGTGGCCAGAGACCTTCAGGATCCAGGAATTAACTCAGGACGAGCTGCCATTGCCCACTACTTCCTGGATTGCAAGAGAGCCTCTGCCCCCAGCACCCGTCCTGGGTTTCGGCACCAAATGTAAGAGTCAGAGGAAAGAAACACGAAATATAGCTTGACTATCAAAGACAGCTTGACTGTCAAAGACAGGTTTATTTTAGAAAAAACCTGAGGGGCTTCTGGCTGACTTCTGTCAGAAGTGCTTTCTCTTACAGACTGAGTTTATATCGGTTTTAGGGTGAGGGGGCTTATTACAAGCTTGGAATGTTTCCGTGTGGGGGAGAAGTTCATGGCAGGGTTGGAATGTCTCTGGGCAGAGGGGGGTTATCTTGGGGCTAGCATGTCTCTGGTCAGGGAAGAGTTTGGATGTTTCTGGTTGGAGATATTATTTGTGGTTTATGATCATGCTGGCTTAGCCATTAGGCTGATGCCCTTTGGATTTAGGCAGTTTTTTATTAAGGTGACTTTTAAAATGAGATGCTTGTCTATGATGTTGATGCTTCTGCTTAGTCACCCAGCCTCTAGTCAGAAAGCTTTTTTCTAGGAAGGGCAGAACTTCAACTTCTCTCATCTTACCTCCACCTACCCATTACTGAGATTACATCCTGTGTGCGTATGTTTGAAAAGTGGGGACATGGTTTGTGAGCATGGTGCACTCAGATTGCTAGGACACTGACCAACTTTGCCTCAGCTCATAGAGGTGGTGGATCCATACCAGGACACAGGCCAAGAGGACATCAGGCTGCTGTCTCTCCCCACCACTGAACACTCAGTTTCCAAAAAGAGAGGATTATTCAGAAAGCAGCTTGCCAGTGTTCCTACCAAAACTTCAGAGCCCTGTCAGATTTTGCCTTGAGGTGGAAGAGAAGTAAGCTGTGAAACAGAGCTCCTAACCTCTTGCCTAAGAATTAACTTCAATTGCAACAGATCATGAGACATTTAAGCCAAAGGGCACTCTATCCTTGATGCAGTGGAAATGGAGGTGAAAAACAATTCCCAGGAGATTCGTGGATTTAATTAAGATACTGCCTGCACTGTAGGCCAGATAATTTGTGGAGAAAACCATGAAAAAACACTGTTAGGGAGGAGTCTGTGAAGTGTATAAACAAACAACTATTAACTGCTGATCTCAGATAGTATTCTTAGAAAGGAGAGAAAACATACTTGGATTTACAGGGCAAATTTGTCCCTGGACTTTTTTGAGAACAACAGAGCCATCAACCAGCAATTAGTACAGTTTAACATCTGAGGGCTGTCCAAGAGAGGAAGAGATTCCCACCATACCATTGTCATCCCAGGATGACTGCAGGCAGAAACAAAGCTGAGCCACTTCCCCTCCCCTCAAGAGCAATATCAGAGGCTTAAAGTTATGAGGAAGAAATTGACAGAGCAGGAACATCACCATCGTGGGCAAGCACCTCATTTTAAAATTCACCTTTATCGAAAGCTGCCTAAATCCAAAGGGCATCAGCTTAATGGCTAAGGTCAGCATGAACATAAACCACAAATAACATCTCTGACCAAATACATTCCAGACTCCTCCCTGACCAGAGACATGCACCAAGATAACCCCTCCTCTGGCTGGGAAGATGCCAGCCCTGAGAAACCCCCCTCCGGCCAGAAAGATGTCTGCCCCCAAATAACCTCCCCTCCGCCCAGAGACATTCCAAGCTTGTAATAAGCCCCCTCACCCTAAAACCAATATGTACTCTTAGTCTGTAAGAAAAAGTGCTCCTGACCAAAATTGGCCGGAAGCCCCTCTCAGGTTATTTCTAAAATAAACCTATCTTTAACCATCAAGCTGTGTTTCTTTCTTCTTTAACTATTACAGAAATAGACGTCACCAAAATAGTCCAATCAGTCACTAAACAAAATAAAGCAAGTAACAATAACAAGGCCTGGAGAAACTGAACATACTCTGAGAAGGTTCAGTATGTTATAAAAAATGTCCAATTTGCAACAAGTACAGCCCATAGATCAAAAAGAAAAGAAAAGCTGACAATAGAAACTGCCTGTGAGAACAGATAGCAGATTTAATAGAAAAATACTTCAAAGTGTACATTATAAATATGTTCACAGAACCAAAGAAGAGCATGACTTAAACACATTGAGATTTGGAATCTAGCTGAAGGTTTCTCCACAACAACTACCCTACTTTCACAATTTTTCTAATGTAATGACTTCTGTAAAAAATTACAAGCCTGGCCAGGTGCAGTGGCTCACACCTGTAATCCCAGCACTTTGGGAGGCTGAGGCAGGTGGATCATGAGGTCAGGAGTTTGCGACCAGCCTGACCAACATGGTAAAACCCTGTCTCTACTAAAAATACAAAAATTAGCCGGGCATGGTGGTGCGTGCCTCTAATCCCAGCTACTCAGGAGGCTGAGGCAGGAGAATCGCTTGAACCCAGGAGGCAGAGGTTGCAGTGAGCTGAGATGGTGCCACTGCACTCCAGCCTGGGTGACAGAGTGAGACTCGGTCTTAAAAAAAAAAAAAAAAAAAAAAAAGACAAGCCCATTATTAGTGGTTCATTAATTACTTATATTCATTAATAGGTTTGAACATACATTGCTACCAGTATCACAGAAGGTGCAGGTTTTCTGCCATTTATGAATTGTTTGAAAGTAAATGCACTGATTACTCTGTAACAAGGCTCCTCAATAGCTATTATAAAAATAATAATATCCATGTATGAGGTTTCTTAGTTCTGTTTCCAAGTGAAGTATTTTATAAATACTTCAACATCTATGTTACATTAAGTATATATTTTTGTTGAAAATTTTGTTTTAAAAATTGGTAGCATGCAAAGATACCCTCAAGAGACTTTTTTTTCCCCTCTTTTGAGTGCAAATCACCTTAGATTTCTCCCAGAGATTTTCTGTTGATCTTTAATGTTCTGGTTTTCCCATTTGTTTCCTAAAATGTAGACCAAGAAAAATCATCATCATTTAGAAAGTATGGAAGAATTACTGGATTGTAGGTTCATTGTGCACTGCAGCCATGCTTGATCAATTCATCAAAATACCCCCTTTCCACATTCCAAATTTTGGAATAGTACTGATGGCCAAGAAGCACTTCTCTCTAATTGACTAAAGGAAAAAAATATCCTCACCTATAGAAGACAGGTGCTGATGGCTTCCCTCATCACATGTCTACAGATTCTTCATGGAAAAATCCAGCAAAGCCCACTCCTCCTGGATGAAGTTCACAGCCACATCTTCAAAGACCACCAAGCCGTGACATATCCCAGATGTGTAGAGGACAGGTGAGACGGACAGCCCTGGGGATCTAGACTCAGTTCATGAGAGTTCACACTGAAGCGGTGTCATTGTCTCACGGACATGGAAAACTAGGACATGGACACACAAAGAGTGAGGTTCTGAGCAGAAGTTTAATAGGCGAAAGAGATGAGCTCTCTCTGCTGCAGAGAGAAGGGTCTCAGAGAAGTGGGTTGCTGCTTCCACAGTGAAATGCAGACAGTTTTATAGATGAGCTTGAGGAGGCAGTGTCTGATTTACATAGGGCACAAAAGATTGGTTGGGGCCAGGTGTGGTGGCTCACGCCTGTAATCCCAGCACTTTGGGAAGTCAAGGCAGGCAGATCACAAGGTCAGGAGATCAAGACCATCCTGGCTAGCACAGTGAAACCCTGTCTCTACTAAAAATATAAAAAATTAGCTGGGCGTGGTGGCAGGTGCCTGTAGTCCCAGCTGCTCAGGAGGCTGAGGCAGGAGAATGGCGTGAACCCAGGAGGTGGAGCTTGCAGTGAGCCGACATCCTGCCACTGCACTCCAGCCTGGCAACACAGCAAGACTCCATCTCAAAAAATAAAAGTAAAAAATAAAAAAAGTAAGCAGTGAAGGAACAGAGTGATAAATTTAAATAAATTAAAATTAGGAAGGTAAAAGACGAACAACAAAGTAGGAGAAAAATATCTGCAGTACGTGCAATATAAAAGGATTAATTTGTAGAGTAAAACACAAGATTAAAACATGGGAAAATAAAGAAACTACTTAACTGAAAATGAAAGACCATGTATGGAAAAAAAGAGGAAATAGCCAAATAAAATGTCAACTAGATGACATTTCTCATTGATTAGAAGGACAAAAATTAGTCAATTTGAGAATCCTAAGTGGCAATGACCATAGAAAATAAATAGGTATGCATGAACGAAGGAGTGGGAGTCAATAGATACACTCCATTGCTACTTCATGTAATTTGAACTTTACCATAATCTACATCAGCCCAGTAATTTTTCTCTAGGTAGTTTATTGTGCATTTGTGCTTAAAGACTATTGGAGCAATATTTTTCCCAAGAGCAAACAAAAACCCTGAAGAAGCTCAAGCACCATAACTATTGGAATGGATGAGGGAATTGGATGGCACACAGCCTTAAACACTAGCATGTATGAAATGTACTGAGGCAAGGAAAACAGCAATAAGCCTTTTCATTTTAATGAAATAAGGCCCATCAATCCATCAAGCAATAATCTCTCTAGCTATCAATTTATTATTTATTTTTATTTATTATTCATTTGTTTGGAGATGAGGTCTGGCGATGCTTCTCAGGCTGGTCTAAAACTCCTGGCCTCAAGTGATCCTCGTGCCCCTGCCTTCCAAAGCACCCTGCCACTATTTTGCAATATGCCCAGAGAATTCTATTCTTAACAAGACCTATCTTCAAAAGAAACTGTTTCTCAAAAACCAAATTGAGATTTTACCAGAGGCAAACCTCTTGGGGGAAAGGAAATACCTAATTCCATCCCCCTCTTTTTTGCCTCAACTAAGCAGAAGTGAGGGAGAAATACTTTAAAGCGTCACAACACAGGGACACAGGCTTCCTACAAATGAGGTCAAATCATAGGTCCATGAAATGCTTCCCATAGTCTCACACCTGATCACCACATCAATAGCAGCAGAATATATACCATAATAACAGCAGAACACAACTGAAAAAACTATGCCTCAGACCTTTTACTTGAAGAAGTCTAAGGGTACAGAAATAAGTTGGGTAACACTGATGAAGTGGACAGATGTCTACAAACACAATGTACATAGACTGTCCTGAAGAAACAGAAAATCTGAACAGATCTTCAGTTCTAGGAGACTGTTGTAGTAATAAACAAAACAAAACAAACGAACAGTAAAAACCTAAGACCAAAGAGTTTTACTGCTAAAATCTACCAAACATTTAAAATATTAATACCCATCTTCCCCAAACTTAAAAAAATTAAGAGAACACTTCCAAACTCATTTTATGAGGCCCAAATTACACTAACACCAAAGAAAAGACACTACAAGAATGAAAGCTGCAGGTAAGTGTCCTTTGTGAATATGATACAAAAATTCTCAAATACTAGCAAACCATATTCAGCAGCATATTAAAAGATTACATACCATGACCAAGTGAGATTTATCTCTAAAATGCAAGGATGGTTCAACATATAAAAATAGTGGCCAGGCATGGTGGCTCACACCTGTAATCCCAGCACTTTGGGAGGCTGAGGTGGGTGGATCACAAGGTCAGGAGATCGAGACCATCCTGGCTAACACAGTGAAACCCCGTCTCTACTAAAAATACAAAAAATTAGCCGGGTGTGGTGGTGGGCACCTGTAGTCCCAGCTACTTGGGAGGATGAGGCAGAATAGTATGAACCCGGGAGGTGGAGCTTGCAGTGAGCTGAGATCACGCCACTGCACTCCATCCCAGACGACAGAGCAAGACTCTGTCTCAAAAAAAAAAAAAAAAAAAAAAAGTAATACACCACAACCATCTCAATGTAGATGTAGAAAAAAAGCGTTTGACAAAATACAAAACCCATTCATGATAAAAACACAGAACTTGAGCTGGAAAGAAACTACCTCGATATAATACAAGCCATACATTAAAAAGCCATAGAAACATTATAGTCAGTGGTGAAATACAAAAAACTTTTTCACTAAGATCAAGAACAAAACAGGACACCTGCTTTCACCACTTGCCTCAATGCACTATTGGAAGTCCTACACAGAATGATTAAGCAAGAAAAAGAAATGCATCCAAACCAAAAAGGAAAAAATAAAATTATCTCTGTCCACAGATGAAACAATCTTATAGGCAGAAAATCCTAAAGATTGTGCATATGCACACACACATAGAACACCCCAAAATGGCTGGAACTAACAAATTCCTCAAAGTTGCAGGATACCAAATCAACATGAAAAAGTCAGTTTCAACTGGGTGTGGTGGCATGAGCCTGTAGTCCAAGCTGCTTTGCAGACTAAGTCAGGAGGATTGCTTGAGCCCAGGAGTTCAAGGCTGTAGTACACTACAATTGCTCCTGTGAATAGCCACTGCACTCCAGCCTGGACAACATAGTGAGACCCCATCCCTTAAAGAAAAATCATTTATACATACTTCTCATTTATACATACTAACAACATATAATCTGAGAAGGAAATTAGGAAACAATACCATGAACAATAACAAAGGCAGCAAAAGACTTGTACACTGAAAACTATAAAATGTTGCTGAAAGAAATTAAAGATATAAATGAATAGAAAGACATCTCATTCATGGATTTTAAGATTCAATATTAAGATATCAATACTACTGAAGATGGTCTAGAAAGTCAATGCAATTCCTATCCAAATACCAATGACTTTTTTTTTTTTTGGAGACTATAGTCTCACTCCACTCTATCCCCCAGGCTGGAGTGCAGTGGCGTGATCTCAGCTCACTGCAATCTCCACCTCCTGGGTTCAAGCAATTCTCAAGTTTCAGCCTCCCAAGTATCTGGGACTACAGGCGCATGCCACCATGCCTGGCTTTTTTATTTTAGTAGAGACGAGGTTTCACCATATTGGCCAGGCTGGTCTTGAACTCCTGACCTCAGGTGATTCACCTGCCTCGGCCTCCCAAAGTGCTGGGATTACAGGTGTGAGCCACCGCGCCTGGCACCAATGAATTTAAAAAAAAAAAAAAAAACAGAAATGCCCATCCTCAAATTCATAGGGAATCTTTAGGAACCCCAAATAGACAAAACGATTGATGAAGAACAAGCCAGGTGCAGTGGCTCACGCCTGTAATCCCAGCACTTTGGGAGGCCAAGGCAGGCAGATCACTTGAGGTCAGGAGTTTGAGACCAGCCTGGTCAATATGGTGAAACTCTGTCTCTACTAAAAACATTTTTAAAAATTAGCTGAGCCTGGTGCGGTGGCTCATGCCTGTAATCCCAGCACTTTGGGAGGCCGAGGTGGGCAGATCATGAGGTCAAGAGATTGAGACTATCCTGGCCAATATGGTGAAACCTCGTCTCTATTAAAAATACAAAAATAAGCTGGGTGTGGTGACACATGCCTGTACTTTGGAGGCTGAGGCAGGAGATCACTTGAGTCCGGGAGGTGGAAGTTGCAGTGAGCCAAGATCGCGCCACTGCTCTCCAGCCTGGTGACAGAGTGAGACACTATCTAAAAAAAATTAGCCAGGCATGGTGGTGTGTGCCTGTAGTCCCAGGTACTCAGGAGGCCGAGGCAGGAGAATTGCTTGAACCCGGGAGGTGTGGGTTGCAGTGAGCCAGGATTGCACCACTGCACCCCAGCCTGGGTGACAAAGCGAGACTCCATCTCAAAAAAAACAAAAAAGAACTAATTTGGAAGTCTTACTCTTCCTTTTTAAACTTAAATATACAATAGATAAAACACTGTAGTACTGGCACAAGGATAGAAGGTACATCAATGGAATAGAGAACTCAGAAGATATCCTCACATATATGATTAAATGATTTTCAGCAAGGTACCAGGTTCATTCAGTGGGAAAAGGAAGTTATTGCAAAAAGTGGTGCTGGGAAAACAGTCTTGACATGTAGAAGTATGAAGCTGGACCCTTACTTTACACCATATACAAAAATGAAATCAAAATGAGTCACGGACTTAAACTAAACTACTCTTAGAAGAATACATGGAGGGAGGAATTTCATAAAATTGAATTTGGTAATGATTTCTTGGATACAACACATGCCCAGTCACCAAAAGGAAGAATAGACAAGTTTAACTTCAAAGTTAAAAACTTATGTCCCTCAGGGGATACCATGAACACAGTGAAAAGGCAGCCCATGGAATTGCAGAAAATGTTTGCAAATCACATAACTGCCAAGGTGTTAATATGTAGAATATACAAAGAAAATGCACTTGACAAAGTTCAACATCTTCACAATGAAAACACTCAGTAAACTAGGAATAGAAAGGAACTTCCTCAACCTGCTATAAGGCATCTATTAAAAACCCACAGCTGGCCGGGCGCGGTGGCTCAAGCCTGTAATCCCAGCACTTTGGGAGGCCGAGGCGGGTGGATCATGAGGTCAGGAGATCGAGACCATCCTGGCTAACATGGTGAAACCCCGTCTTTACTAAAAATACAAAAAAAACTAGCCGGGCGTGGTGGCGGGCGCCTGTAGTCCCAGCTACTGGGAGGCTGAGGCAGGAGAATGGCGTGAACCTGGGAGGCGGAGCTTGCAGTGAGCCGAGATCGCGCCACTGCACTCCAGCCTGGGTGACACAGCGCGAGACTCCGTCTCAAAAAAAAAAAAAAAAAAAAAACCCACAGCTAACATCACAGACCTAAGAACACCTTCATTTTCAGCACTGGCTAATCTCTAGGATCAGTTAGGCAGAAAGTGAAGGCGGAAGCAGAGTTTTAAGCAGCCTTGCTAAGTGTTAAAGGAATGCCACAGGCTAGAACTATCCATAAAAACTGGGAGGTGTGAGGTTTTTTTTTTGAGACAGAGTCTTGGTCTGTTGCCCAGGCTGGAGTACGGTGGTGCGATCACTGCAACCTCCACCTCCTGGGTTCAAGTGATTCTCCTGTCTCAGCTTCCTCAGTAGCTGGGACTACAGGTGCATGCCACCACACCTAGCTAATTTTTTTTTTTTTTTGTATTTTTAGTAGAGACGGAGTTTCACGGTGTTAGCCAGGATGGTCTTGATCGCCTGACCTCGTGATCCACCCACCTCGACTTCCCAAAGTACTGGAATTACAGGCGTGAGCCACTGCACCTGGCCACCATGAGGTTTTTGTTTCTGCTTCTTTAGCTCTTGTGATGCAAGGGAATCGCTGTCAAAACACAGGCTAAACATAAGCTAAAGGAACAGGAACTTCAAGGGCTGTGCACAACAAGTAATACAATCTCTGCAAAAATACTTTGGAAAAGTTAACAAACAAAAATAGCAACACTGAAGAGGGAGAAACTGACTTCTAGAGGCATCCCTTATGACATTCAAATGTCCATGTTTCAACAACAAAATTTATGAGGAATACAGAGAAACAGAAAAACATAGCTCATGAATGGAAAAAATCATTTGAGATAAACCATTTCTAAAACCCTAGACATTAGACTTACTAGACAAAGACTTTAAATCAACCTTTTTTTTTTTTTTTTTTTTTTGAGATGGAGTCTTGCTCTGTCACGCAGGCTGGAGTGCAAAGGCGTGCTCATGGCTCACTGCAACCTCCACCTCCTGGGTTCAAGCGATTCTCCTGCCTCAGCCTCCCCAGTAGCTGGGATTACAGGTGCCCTCCACCATGCCCAGCTAATATTTGTATTTTTAGGAGAGACAGGGTTTCACCATGTTGGTCAGGCTGGTCTCAAACTCCTGACCTCAAGTGAGCCACCCACCTTGGCCTCCCAATGTACAGGCGTGAGCCACCGTGCCCAACCAAATCAATTGTCTTAAATCCTTATTAGGTGTGCAACTATAACAGAGTGTCAAAATACATGAGGCAAAAACTTACAGAACTGTGAGGAAAAATAAGGAAATTCTCTTTCATAGTGGGACACACCAACATACCTCTATCAGTAGTTGACAAATCAAGTGGGAAGAAAATCATTAATGGTATAGGTTTGTTTTTTTTTTTTTCAGTACCAAACATAATTTTTTTTTTTCCTTAAGACAGAGTCTTGCTCTGTTACCCAGGCTGTAGTGCAGTGGCACAATCTCGGCTCACCTCAACCTCCACCTCCTGGGTTCAAGTGATTGTCCTGCCTCAGCCTCCCAAGTAGCTGAGATCACAGGCGAGCATCACCACACCCAGCTTTTGTTTTTTTGGTTTTTTTTGTTTTTTTGTATTTTTAGTAGAGACAGGGTTTCAGTATATTGGCCAGGCTGGTCTCAAAATCCTGACCTCAGGTGATCCACCTCAGGTGATCCACCGGCCTCCCAGAGTGCTGGGATTACAGGCATGAGCCACTACACCCGGCCCCAAAGAGAATTTAATGGCATAGTTTTAACTCAACAGCATCATCAATCAATTGGATTTAAGAGGTATTTATAAGATACAGCAACCAACAAGAGCAAACTACAAATCCTTCCCAAGATTGCATGGAATATTCACCAAGTTAGGCCACATTTTGAGCCATAAAACACCTCTTAACAAATGTAAATACTGAAGTGGGAAGATTGCTTCAGCCCAGGAGGTTGAGGCTTCAGTGAGCTGAGATCATGCAATTGCAGTCCAGCCAGCCAGCCAGAGTGAGACCCTGTCTCAAATAACAAAACAAATAAAACAAAGCAGAGTAAGTCTAAAATCAACAATCTAACCTTCTAGTTTAGGCAACCAGAGAAAGAAGAGCAAGATAAATCTAAATCAAACACAGGAAAATAACAATTACAGAAAACATCAATGAAATTGAAAATTGAAAGTCAGTAATATAGGCTGGGCACGGTGGCTCACGCCTGTAATCCTAATACTTTGGGAGGCTGAGGCAGGAGGATCACGAGGTCAGGAGATTGAGACCATGCTGGCCAACATGGTGAAACACCATCTCTACTAAAAATACAAAAATTAGCTGGGTGTGGTGGCACGTGCCTGTAATCCCAGCTACTGGGGAGGCTGAGGCACAAGAACAGCTTGAACCCAGGAGATGGAGGTTCCCGTGCGCCAAGATGGCGCCACTGAACTCCAGCCTGGCGACAGAGCGAGACTCCATCTTAAAAAAAAAAAAAAAAGAAAACAATATCAAAAGCTGGTTCTATGAAAATATCAATAAAATTTATATATATATATATACACCCTATAGCCAGGGTAAGAAAAAAAGAGAGAAGACCCAAAAAATTACTGATTATAAATGAAAGCGGTTTCGTCACTATTAATTCCATGGACATTAAAAGAACCATAAAGGATTATTATGAACAATTCCATGCCCACAAGTTTGATAACTTAGATGAAATGGACCAATCCTTTGAAAGAGACAATCTACCAAAACACACACAAGGAGAGATAAGCAATATGAATAGGTATATATGTGTTAAAAGAAAGTGAATCAGCTAATAACGTAATAACAGTCCAAAAAAGGACAGACAAGGACCAAGACGGTCTCACTGGTCATTTCTGCCAAACATTTAAATAACTGACACTAGTTCACTACAATCTTTCTATAACATACAAGAGTAAACAATTCCTAATACATGCTGTGAGGCCAACAGAATCCTACTGCCAAAACTAGATGGATACGTTACAAAGGTAGAAAACTATAGACCAGTAACTCTCATCATAGATCCTAAAAGTTCTCAACAAATATTCACAGATTGAATCTGAAAATGTAGAAAAAGAACTATACACCACAGTCAAGTGGGAATCATTACAGGTGTACAAGGCTGGTTCAAAATTCAGAAATTGCTGGGTGCCTTGGCTCATGCCTGTAATCCCAGCACTCTGAGAGGCTGAGAGGATTGCTTGAGCCCAGAAGGCGGAGGTTGTCCTCTGGGAGTGAACCAGGGGCTGCTATTCACTAGATCCTGCAAGACACCTGGCAACTGTGAGCATCCTGGGGCAACCCCAGGAAGTCTGAAACCCAGGAACAGGGACAGATCACCCTGTAAAATTTCCAAAAGTGAACCTCAATCCAAAGACATTCTGGCAAGGTGTCTGTGCCTAGGGAAGATAAAAGGAGGAGAGGCACGAAGATTTTTTGCAGCAGAGTTTCGTGCACTTATTCTGTTTTCCTCATGTGAAATGTTCACAAACAGAAAAATATTTTAAAAAGAGCCATCTATTGCTCTGTGAAAAAATGATAAAGTACTGCATCTGTTTGAAATGTACAATAAAGGACAAATAGTTGGTAATATTTTGAATCGATGAAGCAAAGCTGGCACTTGGGGATGTGGGGAAGGAATTGGAAATTTAGGAATTCATATAAACCCTAGAAGGGTTAAGTTCAGCAAACAGAATTGTGGATTTGAGACCTGTGTCCCACACATTTGGAAAATGCAAGGGCAAACAAATACATGGGAAAATCGGTACCCCTGGGGAGTGTTAAAAGAAATAAGAGGCAATCAGATTGGAGTGGCTGTAGTGCCCTGAGTTCCTACCCAAGGACACCAAAATCGAACACAAATGCAGCCTGTAAATTACCAATTTAGAGGAAAATGAAATTTAACCTCCGACTACAGGACCAGAACATTTCCACCTGGATAGACCTGTCAGAAATAGGAAAAACTGAAATTTGTTTTTAAAAGTGGCCTAAGATGGCTGCAGGTTGGGACATACAGGTACTAGAAACCAGACCCATGAAATAAAGCTGAACTCTCAGCCTGCAAGTCAAATATTTCCCTGACCTGTACTGATTACAACCTTGCCTATCAGATGAAGCAAAGGTAGGACAGATTCAGTCATCCCTCTCTAAACCCTAAGATGCCTGTGTATTGGTTAACCTTTCATATACTTTAACCACATACTTGCTTTATCTTATGTATAAGGTCACTGCCCACCTCTCCCATTTTCCATGTAACACAAGGTATAAGGCTTCACGTAGCCACTCCAGGACACATTGTTTGTGCTGGGTCTGCCTTCCCAGGCTATTGTCCTTAAACGTGGCTCAGAATAAAACGGCTGTTTTTTTCATCTTTGGTTAACAGACCAAATAAGGCGACTCATAACCAATCAAAAGATTGAATTTGGTCTGCTTCCTCATACACCTTAGAAAAGCCTTTCCTTCAAGCCCCCCTGACGGGACCCCAAAGAGCAAGCCATGGTTGGGTTATTCATGAACTGCCCTTGGCTAAATAATTAAATATTTAACGGTGCTGCATTTTAATTTTTACAGGTGAAAGGCGGGATTGGGAACCCCACAGACCACAGCTCCTCCCAGGAGAACCCCACACATGAGTCTGGATTCTCGCCGTGATCCTCCCGTGGCCCCCACACAATCTGGGGAGACGCGGGGCTGCGGGCACTGCCAGCGCTGTGCTGCCGAGAGGGCTCCGGACCCGGGCTGCTGTTGCCGCGCAGGGATGGGACAGGATGCCCGGGGTCCCAGCTGCTGGCCTAGCCCCACCCGGTAGCCGAGGGGACCCAGGGCCGAGCTGCGCCAGGGAGACTCGGGTCCGCAGACCCCGGAATCACTGCTAAGAGGCCCGGGTCCCACCACAGCAGGTCCCAACCAGCCCCTCCTCCCGCCCAGCCTTGCACACTCACCATTTCCCGGCTCCCAGGTGTCCCGGGTCCTCCCTTGGCTCCGGGGATCAGTGCTGGTCACCACCGGACAGAAGCTGTGGTGGAGCCACCTCAGCCTCTGGAACGCTGATTTCAGTGGGTTAGGGGAACAAGAGCCCCTTAGACTCACGGAGCTTGGCCCCACCCTCCTGGCAGAGCGCCTGATTGGATGATTTACACAACCCCGCCCAGCACCCCTAGGATAGGGATCAAGCCCCACTCCCTAGGCCCGGGTTTCAGGAGAAGCCACGGAAAGCATGGAAGTGTGGAGCTGGACTGACAGGTTCTAGCAGCAGCCCTCCCACCCCCGAGGCCAGGCTTCCTTCTGGAGCTTGGACGTGACCCCACACTGGGGACATTTGCATTTAAGAAAAACTTGCTCCAGGCTTTCCACAGTGGGCACTGGCATCTTCCTGTACTCACTGGGCCCTTTCTGTTTCTTCCTCCTGGACAAGTGTGAGCAGGCAATTCCATACTCCATGTCCAATGGAGCAGTACCTTTACTGGAAGCTACTGGGCTGGAACAGGAGGGAGGGCCCAGATGTCTTCCAGGGATCACGAATTTGGGAAAAGCGGCTGGTGGCATGGCCAAGGCTTCCTCACACGTTATCTCAGTCTACCCATTTTCAGGGAAAAAAAGAAAAACATGGCCAAGAAGGGAACAAAAATTAAGTGAATGGAAAAGAGTTATACTATCACAATATTCTGTAAAGAAATCAAAAGGGGCCGGGCGCGATGGCTCACACCTATAATCCCAGCACTTTGGGAGGCCGAGGTAGGTGAATCACCTGAGGTCAGGAGTTTGAGACCATTCTGGCCAACATGGTGAAACCCCATTCTCTACTAAAAATACAAAAAACTAGGCCGGGCACAGCAGCTCACGGCTGTAATTCCAGCACTTTGGGAGGCCAAGGGGGGCAGATCACAAAGTCAAGAGATCGGGACCGTCCTGGCCAACATGGTGAAACCCTACCTCTACTAAAAATACAAAAAAAATTAGCTGGGCATGGTGACGCGTGCCTGTAGTCCCGGCTACTCAGGAGGGTGAGGCAGGAGAATTGCTTGAACCTGGGAGGCTGAGGTTGCAGTGAGCCGAGATCGCGCCACTGCACTCCTGGCGACAGAGACTCCATCTCAAAAAAAAAAAAAAAGCTGGCCATGGTGGCACACGTGTGTAATCCCAGCTACTCAGGAGGTCAAGGCAGGATAATCACTTGAACTCGGGAGTCAGGGGTTTCAGTGAGCCAAGATCGTGCCACTGCACTCCAGCCTGGGCAGCAGAGACTTCGTCTCAATGAAAAGGGAGGAACAGCAAACATTTGAACTAGCTCAGATAAGCATCCTCCTTCACAAGGAAAAGCCGCATTCAGAAAATAAGTCACATCCCCAACTTTAAGAGCCAGGTTCTGACTGCTGTAATGCAGCCCCAGAGGGGATCAACCTGTGAGTTCCCGTCCCCTCCTGAGTGTGGAAATGCTGCCTGCCTCAGCATCTTAATTTTCACCAGCAAGAAACACTCACCTGGAATCAGCTTAAGGTTCTGATCTAAATAAACTGTCAAAATCATAAACCCATTCTCCAGAAGACAACAAGTCTTTCTCCAAACCTGAACGTCATAGATTTTTTGAGGGAGTCTAGCTCTATTGCCCAGGCTGGAGTGCAGTGGCGTGATCTCGGCTCACTGCAGCCTCTGCCTCCCAGGTTCCAGCAGTTCTCCTGCCTCAGCCTCCCCAAGCAGCTGTGACTACAGGTGCATACCACCATGCCCAGCTAATTTTTGTATTTTTAATAGAGACGGGGATTCACCATGTTGACCAGGTTGGTCTCGAACTCCTTACCTCAGATAATCTGCCTGCCTTGGCCTCCCAAAGTGCTGGGATTACAAGTGTGAGCCACTGTACCTGGCCTTTTTTTTTTTTTTTTTTTAAACGAGATGGGGTCTCACTATGTTGCCCAGGCTGGTCTCAAAGTCCTGGCCTCAAGTGATCCTCCTGCCTCAACCTCCCAAAATGCTGGGCTTATAGGTGTGAGCCACCAAGCAAGCCCAGCCCAAGTTGCATTTTTGTTTTTTTTTTTTTTTGAGATGGAGTCTAACTCATCCAGGCTGGAGTGCAATGGCGTGGTATTGCTCACTGCAACCTCCGCCTCCCTATTCAAGCGATTCTCCTGCCTCAGCCTCCCGAGCAGCTGGGACTACTGGTGTGTGCCACCGCACCCAGCTAAGTTTTGTATTTTTAGGAGACATGGGGTTTCACTATGTTGCCCAAGCTGGTCTTGAACTCCTGACCTTGTGCTCCACCTGCCTTTGCTTCCCAAAGTGCTGGGATTGCAGGCGTGAGCTACCGTGCCCAGCCCCAAGTTGCGTTTTTATATACTAATAACAAACGGTCTGAGAGAAAATTAATGAAACAATTTCATTTACAAAAGCATCGAAAACAGTAAAAATTCAGCCAGGAGGCCTGTATCTTGTACACTGACCACTACAAAAGATTGCTGAAACAAATTAAAAAACACAGGCCGGGCGCGGTGGCTCAAGCCTGTAATCCCAGCACTTTGGGAGGCCGAGACGGGCGGATCACAAGGTCAGGAGATCGAGACCAGCCTGGCTAAATACGGTGAAACCCCGTCTCTACTAAAAAATACAAAAAACTAGCCGGGTGAGGTGGCGGGCGCCTGTAGTCCCAGCTACTCGGGAGGCTGAGGCAGGAGAATGGCATAGACCCGGGAGGCGGAGCTTGCAGTGAGCTGAGATGCGGCCACTGCACTCCAGCCTGGGCGACAGAGCGAGACTCCGTCTCAAAAAAAAAAAACAAATTAAAAAACAGACAAATGGCAAGTAATCCCATGTTCATGGATTATAAGACTTCCTATTGTTAGGATGATAGTACTACCCAAATTAATCTACAGATACAATGCAACCCCTATCAAAATCCTTATGGCCTTCTTTTTTAGGCTGAGCACCATGGCTCACACCTGTAATCCCAGCACTTTGGGAGGCTGAGGCAGGCAGATCACTTGAAGTCAGAAGTTCAAGACCAGCTTGGCCAACACGGTGAAACCCCGTCTCTACTAAAAATACAAAAAATTAGTTGGGTGTGGTGGCTCGTGCCTGTAATCCCAGCTACTCAGGAGGCTGAGGCAGGAGAATTACTTGAACCCAGGAGATGGAGGGTGCAGCACACTGGTATTGCGCCACTACACTCCAGCCTGGGAGACAGAGTGAGACTCCATCTCAAAAAAAAAAAAAAAAAAAAAAACACACAACTAGAAAAAAAATCAACCCTAAAGTTCATTTGGAATCTTCTAATACCAAAACAATCTTCAAGAAAAAAGTTCAAAGACTCACACTTTCTGATTTCAAACTGGCTATAAAACTACCATAATCAAAATCACATGGTACTGCACAGGGACAGACATACAGCCCAGTGGAGCAGAACAGAGAGTCTAGAAAGAAAATGCTTGCATATGTGGTCAGATGAGTTTTGACAACAGTGCCATGATCATTCAATGGAGAAAAGACAGTCTTTCAACATATGTTGTTGGGAAAACTGGATATCTACATTCAAAAGAATAAAGTTGGACCCTTACCTTACATACAAAAATTAACTTTGAGTCAAAGATCTAAACTTAAAAGCTAAAACCGTAGAAGACTTAGAAGAAAATATAGGGGAAATTTTCATGACATTGGATTTAACAATCATTTCTTGGATATGAAATCTAAAGCACAGGCAAACAAAAAATAAACTGGACTACATCAAAATTTAAAGCTTGTGCACCAAAGAACACTCTCAAGACAATGAAAAGACTATACAGAATGGGAGAACGTTTTTGCAAATCACATATCTTGGAAGAGATTAATACCTCAAATACATAAGGAATTCCTACAACTCAACAAACCAATGACCCAATTCAAAAATGAGTGAGGGACTTGAAAACATTTGTACAAAGAAGATATATAAATGGCCAACAATCACATGGAATAATGCTCATTATCACTGGTGATCAGGGAAATGTAAATCAAAACACCAGTGAGATAGTTCACAACTGTTAGAATGGCTGCCATTTAAAACAGAAAGTCGAATATAACCAGGGTGGTGAGCATGCAGAGAAATTGCAGTCCTTGTGTATTGCTGGGGAGAATGTAAAACACAGCTACTGTGAAAAACAGTATGGCTATACATGAACATAGAAAACCCTGTGCCCCAGCAGTTCCACTCCTAGGTATGTATCTAAAATAATGGAGGCCAGGCATGGTGGCTCATGCCTGTAATCCCAGTACTCTGGGAGGCCAAGGTAGGTGGATCACCTGAGGTCAGGAGTTTGAGACCAGCTTGGCCAACAAGGTGAAACCCTGTCTCTACTAAAAATACAAAAATTAGCTGGGTGTGGTGGCAGACACCTGTAATCTCAGCCACTTGGGAGGCTGAGACAGGAGAATCGCTTGAACCCAGGAGGTGGAGGTTGCAGTGAGCCAAGATCACATCACTGCACTCTGGCCTGGGCGACAGAGCAAGACACTGTTTCAATCAATCAACCAACCATGGAAAGCAGGGATTCAGACACATATACACCAATTTTAGAGCAGTATTATTCACAGTAGTCAAAACAGTTTTGTAGAAACAACCCAAGTGCTCAACATATGGATAGATAAAAGTGTGGTGTATCCAATATACCACACTTCGGAATATTCAGGCACAAAAACAATGAATTACTGGTACATGCTAACATACGGATGAACCTTGAAAACATTATGCTAAGTGAAATAAGCCATACACATAACGACAAATACTGTATGCTTCTACTTACATGACGCACCTAGGATCAGCAAATTCATAGAGCAAGAAAGGAAAACAGAGATTACCAAGGGTTGGGGATGGGAGGAATGGGGAATGGTTGTTTAATGGGTACCAATTTTTTTGGAATAATGAAAAAATTCTGGAGCTAGCTAGCTGTGATGGTTCTAAAGCACTGTTAATGTATTTAATGCTACTGAATGGCATACTTAAAATGGTAAATTTTATATTACTATATTTGACCTTAAAAAAAATTAAAAACTGGCCAGGCACCATGGCTCATACCTGTAATCCCAGCACTTTTAGAGGCCAAGGCAGAAAGATCCCTTGAGCCCAGGGAACCAGCCTGGGCAATATAGTAAGACTTTGTCTCTCAAAAAAAAAAAAGGTTTAAAACATTACCTGGGCATGGTAGTGTGCACTTGTGGTCCCAGCTATTCAGGAGGCTGAGGTGGGAGGATCATTTGCTTGGGAGGCAGCAGTTTCAGTGACCCAAGATAACACCACTGAACTCCAGCCTGGGTGACAGGGAGAGACCCTGTCTGAAAGAAACAAAATTAAAAACTAAAGACACAATTTGAGCTACTAGAAAGGAAAACAACAATGCCTGGTATAAAATATACACTGGATTGAATAACCAGATATTTCAGGAAGAAAAGAAATTAAGACCCAATAATAGAAATGACATAATTTAAAAGATATGCACCTAACAGATTGTCAAAATATGTCATGCAAGAACACACAACTGCAAGGTGAGACAGACAAATTCACAATTAACTGAAGACTTCAACACTTCTCAGTAATTCAAAGATCCAACAGGCATAGATTCAGTAAACATTCCTTTTTTTATTTTAAAATACTTCACAAAGGTTGTATATGTTCATGACGTACAATGTTATGTTTTGATGTATATATACATTCTGTAATGGTTACCAGTCAGATTAACACATTGATGACCACCCATGCTGTACATTAAATCTTCAGAACTTGTTCACCTTACAGCTTGGTTTTTAACCTTTGACCAACATTTCTCCATTTTCCCTACCTTCTGGACTCTAGTAACCACCGTTCCTCCCTCTACCTCTGAGTTTAAGATTCCACAATTAAGTGGGTTCATGAAGTATTTGCCTATGTCTGCCTTATAGTGTCCACCCCGTTTATTCATGTTGTGACAAATGTCAGGATTTCCTTTTTATGGCTGAGTAAGATTCTGTTGTTTAAATATACATCACATTTTCTTTATTCATTCATTGATGGCTGCTAAGTTTGTTTCCATATTTTGACTATTGTGAATAATGCTGTAATGAACATGTGAGTGGCAGATAATCTCTTTGAAATACTGATCACTGCCTTTGGGCATATATGCATATATCCAGGGGTGAGACTGTTGGATCACATGGTTTTTTTTTTTTTTTTTTTGAGGAACCTCCACATTGTTTTTCACAATGGCTGTACAAATGTACATTTCCACCAACAGTACACAAAGCTTCCTTTTTCTCTATACCCTAACACTAATCTTTCAATAGTACCCATCCTTGCATGTATGAGGTAACATGTAATTGTGGTTTTGATTTGAATTTCTGTAATGATTAGTGATATTAAATCCCTTTTCATATGCTTTCAGACCATTTGTATGTCTTTGTTGGAAAAAATGTCCACTCAAGGTTTTTTATTTTTTCTTATTGTTTTTACCCCTTGCAGAAACCAGTCTATTTTTCTTAATTTTTTAGTGTTTTGAGACGGGAGGGGTCTGATTATGTTGCCCAGGTTGGTGTTGAACTCCTTGATCTTCCTGACTCACACTTCTGAGTACTGGAACTACAACTGGGCACCACTATGCCCAGCTAATAATTTATTTTTTATGTTTTTAGACATGAAGTCTCCCTATGTTGCCCAGGTTGGTCCCAAATTCCTGGCCTCAAGCAGTCCTCCCAAGTACCTGGAATTATAGGCATGAGCCACGGCACCTGGCCTCCTAAACTTACAAGAGTGTTACGACTTTGAAACATACCCAGCTTTGTTGGTGTCTTCTCAGGCTGATCCTCACATTTGGCTTTGATTAGCCTTTATCAAATTATTTCTGCCTCAACAGACTTAATTTTGGTCAATAATTTAACTGAGGTACTTTATAGATAACAGTGTCCGTCATACCGCAGGAAATACTTCAGTGTTTAGATAATGAGAAAAGCAAAAGCTGTTCCCAATGACAGCTGCTCCCCAACTCAGCTCAAGGCGAAGTCTTACCCTGTTGAAAACTGTCACAAACCTCCATCAGACAAAGCTACCAGGTGACCATAATGGATCAACATGAAATTCTGTAACTATGTCACTGATATAGTTAGAAAGAAAACAGACTCCAAACCCTAAAAATGACCAGAAATCTCCTCTTCTAATATGACTGTGCTTCTTATGAATTAGCTTTAGCACCACTCTATTCTTTCTGCCTCCTAGATAAGATCTATTAGAATTTCCGAGGACGCAATTGAGTTCATCTCACAGCATCCAATACAAACACCTCACTTTGTTGAATAGCAATGAAATCACCCAAAAGAAACACAAATCCTGTAAGAAGTCCTCTTAAGCACCCTCTCATTGATAACCCTCAGTCATTTATGCTTTGTGTTCATCCTTATTACAACTCGTTACACACCACTCTTTGACTACAGGTGTGATTCTAGTGGTCTTTGGCAAGATGGCACAGACAAAAAGCATGCTTTGTTCTTGTGGTATTATAAATGAGAAATTAGTTTCATGAGAAAACTTGTGACCATGTAAGGAATTAAAAAAATTTTTCCTTTACATTTTCTTTTACATTTTTTAAAGAAAAGTACTTGAACTTATATGCAAATGGTAATACTGACTCATTATTTAGAATGTATAATGAATAACCTGACAAAATTACAAAGTTGACCTGAAAATGCGTAATTGCAATGGGATATTTTAATATATAGTCTCAGGTAATGGAAAATATTAATACAGTATTTGTTAGTATACAAGTTGTTTTAAAAGAGTTAATAAAATATTTCTAAGAAATACCTGCATAAGTTGTTTGATAAATATGCATTGTTTTTATCACGTACAAACATAACTGAGAGAGTGCACATGATCACATTCAGCTGTAATTGGAAATTCTTGCAATCTGCCTGACCTAAGACATTTGTTCTCACAGAGACTGCGTCAGAGCAGTTACTGCACAATGCAACAGAGGAACAAGCCCCCATGTTGTTCTGTGTGACTGTATCATTGTAGCTGTCACGGGGAAACCAGGAACACAGTTATTACCAGTATTAACAGAATAAGGCATTTACTATGCAAATTATATCTTATTTGAATATAATCTAGAGATGAGGGTAGTCAGAACGACAGAAAATACCCTCAACCATGACAGTTTTAATTAGTTGCCCGGTGGATTATGTTGATATGGGTAATGTTAACTAAATTTTCTAGAATCTTTTCTCTTTTTGTTTCCATGTTAGAATTCACCAATAGCCTAACGACATGAAAGCTGAGAGGCAGAACTTAAGAAGGCTGCAAGGGGACTGCATGGACACTGGCCTCCTGCCTGTTTTCCTGATACTTTGTCCTGACAATCAAGAGTTTCTTTAAAACACCACTGTCTACTTCTGTTTTCTCAGAGGGGTCGGGTTCCACAGATGTCTCCACAATCTTCACATCAAAGATCCATTTGCAGTTTGGATTTTCCTGTCTGTCTCCATGTAGATGGGTCCAAAACCTGACTAATGCCTTCTTCAGTTCTGCCTTCCAACTTTCATGTCAGTTAGACTACTGCTGAATTCCAACATAAAATCCAAAAGGGAAAAGATTCTAGAAAACTTAGTTCACGTTACCCATAATGACATAACACAATCTAAGAGGGACACGTCCAACCTAGATTGTGTTGTCCTATCACAGATGTCACTTCTTAATTCAAAGTCTACCATCCATATCTTGGCCAGAAAGAGTAAAATGTGGAAATAATTTACATAAGACTATATTGTATAACCTTGGCCCACTATTCATTAGCAAGGGAAATAAAATAAGGCTCTCCTAATAAAAAAGAAGAAAGATTTTCTCCTGAGGAAGGTGGAATATATACATAATGGATAAGGGAAAGCCAGTACCTGCCATAGGATGCCAGTAGGAAACTCCCAGTACCAAACTGTCATTTTTCAATGGCCTCTTCCTTACTTACAGAACTATTAAGAGAAAAAATGTTATTAACTGACTTAAGGAAAAAACACTACCAATTATACCTCTGCACTATTTCTTAAAGAGTATTTACAGAATAATCTCACCTCAATGTTCATTTATGAAAATAAGTGGGAACCCACAGTCCAGAGATCCACTTTAAGAATGTGGCACTAAGCCAGGCAAGGCAGCACACACCTGTAGTCCCAGCTGCTCAGGAAGCTGAGGTGGGAGGATCCCATGAGCCTAGAAGTCCAAGGCCAGCCTGGGCAACATGGCAAGACCCATCTCAAAAACAAACAAACAAACAAAACAAAAAAACTGGCCCAGTGTGGTGGCTCATGCCTATAATCCCAGCACTTTGTGGGGCTGAGGTGGGAGGATTATTGAGGTCAGGGGAGTTGGCGATCAGCCTGGGCAAGATAATGTTGCCTGTCTCTACAAATATATACACATATATAAAAATATTTTAAAATAAAAATATATTAAAAACTAGAATCAAAAAGGGACGTGGCACTGATAAATACATTTATAAAATTTTTTCATGGCATGAATTTTCTGGAGCATTACAGCTGAATTAAGTTATATCAGGCTTTCCTGTATTACTTACATTCATGCAACTACTCTCCAGTATGAACTTTCATATCAACTTTGAAAATCATTAAAATTGCAAAACTTTTGATATTTTACATTTATAGTTTCTATTCAGTGTGCACTTTCTTCACATGGTATTGTAAGGATGCACGCCAAATGAAGGCGTTGCCACAATCCTTACATTTATAAGGTTTCTCTCCAGTGTGCATTCTCATGTGTACTCGAAAGCCTGTAAGAAAACTGAAGGGTTTTCCACATTCTTTACATTCATAGGGTTTCTCTCCAGTATGAATTCTTTCATGTATATGAATATAACTGGAACTACTGAAGGCTTTCCCACACTGTTTACATTCGTAAGGTTTCTCTCCGGTGTGGGTTCTTTCATGGATCTGGAAACCTGCAAGAGTAATGTATGTTTTCCCACATTTTTGACATTCATACTGTTTCTTTGCAGTGTGCATCCTTTCATGTCTTCGGGCAGAACTACAACAATAAAAGGCTTTCCCACATTCCCTACATTTGTAGGGTTTCTCTCCAGTATGAGTCCTTTCATGTCTCTGAGCTGAGTAGTAGTATCTAAATGTTTTTCCACATTTTTTACATTCAAAGGGTTTATCTCCAGTGTGAGTACTTTCATGTGCTTGAAAACCTAAAGGAGACAAGTAAGTTTTCCCACACAGTTTACATTCATAGTGTTTCTGTGCAGTGTGATTCCTTTCATGCTTTTGAGCAGTACAGTGATAACTGAAGGCTTTCCCACATTCCTTACATTTGTAGGGTTTCTCTCCAGTGTGGGTCTTTTCATGTCTTTGAGCAGAGTTGTGATACACGAACACTTTTCCACATTTTTTACATTCATAGGGTTTTTCTCCAGTGTGAGTTCTTTCATGTGCTTGAAAACCTACAGAAGATATGTAGGTTTTTCCACATTGTTTACATTCATAGCGTTTCTGTACAGTGTGATTCCTTTCATGTGCTCGAGCAGAATGGCGGTAAATAAAGGGTTTCCCACATTCCTTACATTTGTAGGGTTTCTCTCCAGTATGAGCCTTTTCATGTCTTTGAGCGGACTGGTGATATCGGAATGCTTTTCCACATTCTTTACATTGATAGGGTTTATCTCCAGTGTGAGTCCTTCCATGTATTTGGAAAGAACGCTGACAACTGAAGGCTTTCCCACAGGCCTTACATGTGTAGACTATCCTTGCACTGTGTGTTCTCTTATGCTTTTTAAAAGACTGCAGATAACTGAAGGGTTTCCCACATTTCTTACATTTATACGGCTTCTCTCCATATTCCCGACACTTATACAGTTTGTGTCTGGTGTAAGATCTGTTGTGTGTGTTAAGGGATGAATGATGGCTCAAGACTTTTCCACATACACTGCTTTCCCAAAGCTTTCCTCCAGAAGTTGTTTTCTTGTTCAGACTGAGATTTGGAATCTGGCTGAAACGTTCTTCACCATGACTACCTTCTTCACTTTCACAGAGTCTCTCTACCATATGATTTCTGTAAAAAATGAGCAGCACATTAATAGTCCATTTATTAAAGATGTTCTCTTTATTAACTGATACTAGAATAACTATTTTTTCCACTTTCAGGGAAAGTATAGACTTTTTTGTCCTGTCTAAATTGCTTGTGAGGTGAATGTATTGAATGCTGTGACTCTGCAAGCGAGCTCAAACATAGCTGTTATGAAAACAGTGATATTCATATATGGGTTTTTTTTTTTTGAGACAAATCTCACTCTGTTGCCCAGGCTGGAGTGCAGTGGTGTGATCTTGGCTCACTGCAACCTCTGCCACCCGGGTTCAAGTGATTCTTCTGCCTCAGCCTCCTGAGTAGCAGGGATTACAGGCACCTGCCATTGTGCCTGGCTACTTTTTGTATTTTTAGTAAAGATGGAGTTTTACTAGGTTGCCCAGGCTGGTCTTGAACTCCTGACCTCATGATCCACCCACCTCGGCCTTCCAAAGTGCTGGGATTATAGGCGTGAGCCACCACGCCCGGACCATATATGGGTTTCTTAATACTGTTTCTAAGTGAACTATTTTTCAAACACTGAACATCTATGTCATATTTAAGAAAGCACTTTGGGTTAATATTTTCTTTCTTTTTTTTTTTTTTTTTTTTTTTTTTTTAGATGAAGCTTCACTCTTGTTGCCCAAGCTGGAATGCAATGGCGTGACCTTGGCTTACTGCAGCAGCCTCTGCCTCCCGGGTTAAAGTGATTCTCCTGCCTCAGCCTCCCGAGTAGCTGGGATTACAGGCATGTGCCACCATGCCTGGCTAATTTTGTATTTTTAGTAGAGATGGGGTTTCTCCATGTTGGTCAGGCTGGTCTTGAACTCCCAACCTCAGGTGATCTGGCCGCCTCAGCCTCCCAAAGTGCTGGGATTACAGGTGTCAGCCACTGCGCCAGCTGGGTTAATATTTTCTAAGAACAGATACATTTGAGGCTTGGCTTATGTTTCCTTAATTATCAAATTTAATGACATACTAAGATTTTCTCCTAGAATACTGCGCTTTCTTTTCTGAGTGTGACTCACCTGAGATTTCTCCCCTGGTTTTTGTACTGCTCTTCAGTGTTCCATTCTTTTTGTTTTGTTCCTGAAATGTAGACCCAGAAAATTATCATAAGTTATTAGAAATTACAGAAAAAGTATTAGATTCTAGGTCCATCTGTGACCATGCCTGATTTACAAAAGAATTTTGCCCTTTCACATTCCACATCTTGGAATAGCATTGATATCCAAGAAAAATGTATTCTCTAATTCATTCAAGAACATGATAGAATGATTTCCTTTTTACCTATAGAGGCCAGATTCCTGAAGGTTTCCCACATCACATCTCTGTAGAGTTTTTTCTGTGAAGGATCCAGCAAAGCCCACTCCTCCTGTGTGAAGTTCACAGCCACATCTTCAAAGGTCACTGAGTCCTAAAACATTCCAAATGTGTGTAAAGGAAAATGGGTGAGACTGACAGCACTGGGCAACTGTACTCAAGTCATAAGATGTTCACGATGATTCTGTGATCTCCAGGGATTTATTCTATGAATTTGTTGTCCGAACTCTCTTTGGCCACACTCCCTAATTTATGAACACATGAAAATTATTTCTACACTTTCACTGTGATCACAATCATACTGCTTTCCAATGGCAGGATCCAGAGCACTTTGGAGAAGTGAGAGAACTGCTGTACAAAAAAATTCCATTTTAAGACCATCGATTCTTTGTGAGAAAAACTCATCTTCTTCTTCTTCTTTTTTTTTTTTTTTTTTTGAGACGGAGTCTCGCTCTGTCCCCCAGGCTGGAGTGCAATGGCGCGATCTCGGCTCACTGCAAGCTCCGCCTCCCGGGATCCTGCCATTCTCCTGCCTCAGCCTCCTGAGTAGCTGGGACTACAGGCGCCCGCCATTGCGCCCGGCTAATTTTTTTTTTTTGTATGTTTAGTAGAGACGGGGTTTCACCGTGTTAGCCAGGATGGTCTCGATCTCCTGACCTTGTGATCCGCCCGCCTCGGCCTCCCAAAGTGCTGGGATTACAGGCGTGAGCCACCGCGCCCAGCCTCATCTTCTTCTTATACATCACATCACTCAACATTCCATGAGACACAGGGTCAACTATGGATAATGTGTGAATGAATAAAAGCACACTGAAGAACTAGAAGCTTTTTCTACTATTCCCATCACTAAACATGAGAACAAGAAACACGTGGAAATCAAACTTGCAACAATATTTACCTGACCATATTGTCCTGAGGTCCTCCAGGATATTCAAGGTAGTCAGATCCAGCCAGTTCAATCAAAATATTTCTTTTGGAGAAGTTGGCTGGGCACAATGGCTCACACCTGTAATCCTAGCACTTTGGGAGGCCGAGGCAGGCAGACTGAGCTCAGGAGTTTGAGACCAGCCTGGGCAACATGGTGAAACCCCGTCTCGGTGGCTCACACCTGTAATCCCAACACTTTGGGAGGCTGAGGCAGGTGGATCACCTGAGGTTGGGAGTTCAAGACCAGCCTGGCTAAAATGGTGAAACCCCGTCTCTACTAAAAATACAAAATTAGCTGGGTGTGGTGGTGCATGCCTATAATCCCAGCTACTCAGGAGCCTGAGGCAGGAGAATTGCTTGAACCTGGGAGGTGGAGGGTGCAGTGAGCCGACATGGTGCCATTGCACTCCAGCCTGGGTGACAGAGCAAGGCTCTGTCTCAAAAAAAAAAAAAAAAAAATTAGCTGGGTGTAGTGGTGCACATCTCTAATCCCAGCTACTTAGGAGGCTGAGGCATGAGAATCGCTTGAGCTTGGGAGGCAGAGGTTGCAGTGAGCTGAGATCACACCACTTCACTGCACCCGAGAGAAGTGTTTATTTTCACTTGTGTTAATATTTATCAGAGACTTATTGTCCCATTTCATGGAGTTATTAAGTTACTGGGAAGTTAAAGCTCAGGCATGCCATCCTGAGATGGCAAAGTGCCAAAAGAGCTCTTTCCAGCAGAACCATTACAGTTAACCTTGGGCCTTGCTGACCCTGAGGAACAGGTTAAGATTTGCAATTTACAGTCTGGGCACGGTGGCTCAAGCCTGTAATCCAAGCACTTTGGGCGGCCCAGGTGGGCAGATCACCTGAGGTCGGGAGTTTGAGACCAGCCTGACCAACATGGAGAAACCCTGTCTCTACTAATAATACAAAATTAGCCGGGCGTGGTGGCGCATGCCTGTAATCCCAGCTACTTGGGAGGCTGAGGCAGAATTGCTTGAACCCGGGAGGCAGAGGTTGCAGTGAGCCTAGATGGCACCACTGCACTCCAGCCTGGGCAGTAAGAATGAAACTCCGTCTCAAAAAAAAAAAGAAAAAGAAAAAAAGACTTGCAATTTACAATAAAGTACGTTAAAGTCCACAATGAAATGATGAATTTACGCATGATTATAAAATGTATAAAATGTTCTCAGCAGAGGTTTCTTCCAAAAGAACATAAAAATGCCCTTTCTCCATTTTAATAAGGAAGTGATTCCCCAGTCACTCTAGAGAACAGGGATAAGAGTTAAATTGAATTTCTCAGAAACCATACAAGGAGAAAGTAGAGTGAAATATTTAAAGTTCTGAAAGAAAAACATCTGTATCAAGCAAAATTATCCTTCAAGTGAGTCCATAGTACTTTCTGAGACAAAAATTGAGGGAATCTGTCACGAGTACACCCGCTTTGCAAGAAATGTTAAATTCACCAGAAAGAAGGTAAATGACAAAGAAAGGTACTGCAATAGAGAAGGCATAAGTGGAATAAAATATAATCATTTTCTCATTCTCAATTAATGTGACAGATAACAGGTTGTTCAAAGTAACAATAGCTACAACATGTAAGTACAGTTTATGGATAAGTAAAATGAGTAACAGCATTATTATAAGGGAGGGAAGAATTGGGAATACTCTATTATGAGTTACTTGGGCAACCAGTGAAGTGGCCTAAGATTGCCAGAAAGAGGGCTTAGGATAGTTGTATACTGAAAACTCAAGGGCAACCATTACAATAGTTTAAAAAAAAAAAAAGCATAATCAATATATTAAGAGAGGGAAATAAATGAAATCAGGTAAGGTAAATAGTCAAACACAGAAGTCACAAAGAAAATTTAAAAGTATGTTATTTACAAGAAAACTACCTACCTAATTATATGTTGTCTACAAGAAACTTTTTTTTTTTTTTGAGAGACAGAGACTCACTCTGTCTCCCAGGCTGGAATGTGGTGGCACGATCTTGGCTCACTGCAACCTCTGCCTCCTGGGTTGAAGCGATTCTCCTGCCTCAGCTTCCCAAGTAGCTGGGACTATGGGTGTATGCCACCACACCCAGCTAATTTTTTATTTTTTAGTAGAGACAGGGTTTCACTTTACATTGGTCAGCTGGTCTCGAACTCCTGACCTCAGGTGATGTGCCCGCCTCGGCCTCCCAAAGTGCTGGGATTACAGGTGTAAGCTACTGCACTCGGCATTTTTTTTTTTTTTTTTTTAAGACGGAATCGTGTTGTTGACCAGGCTGGAGTGCAGAGGTATGGTCTCAGCTTACTGCAACCTCTGCCTCTCAAGTTCAAGTGATTCTCCTGCCTCAGCCTCCTGAGTAGCTGGGATTACAGGCACGCACCACCATACCTGGCTAATGTTTGTATTTTTAGTAGAGACAGGGTTTTGTCATGTTGGCCAGGCTGGTCTCAAACTCCTGACCTCAGGTGATCCACCCGCCTTGGCCTGCCAAAGTGCTGGGATTACAGGCGTGAGTCACTGCACCCGCCCAAGGGGTTGATTCTCTAAGAGGACACAGAGAATCTATGTGTAATATTTAGCATGTATGTGCATAACAAAAAAATTGCAAAATGCACAAGGCAAAATGTGATACGACTACAAGGAGAAATACATGAATCCATGACTATGGTTGAGATTTCAACACCCTCCTACCAGTAATTAAGAGATCCAGTAGGCAAAAAAAACCCAGGAAGGACAGGCCGAGTACAGTGGCTCACTCCTGCAATCCCAGCACTTTGGCAGGCCAAGGTGGGCGGAGTTCAAGACCAGTCTGGCCAACATGGTGAAACCCTGTCTGTACTGAAAATACAAAAAAATCAGACAGGAATGGTGGTGTGCACCTGTAATCTCAGCTAGTTGGGAGGCTGAGGCAGAGGAATTGCTTGAACCAAGGAAGTGGAGGTTACAGTGGGCCGTGATCGCACCACTGTGCTCCAGCCTGCACTCCAGCCTGGGCGACAGAGAGAGACTCCATCTCAAAAAAAAAAATAATAATAAAAATAAAAAATAAACGAATGAAAATACAGCCTATTAAACTTTGTAGGGGCTGGGCGTGGTGGCTCATGCCTATAATCCCAGCACTTTGGGAGGCTGAGGTGGGTGGATCACTTGAGGTCAGGAGTTCGAGACCAGCCTGGGCAACATGGCAAAACTCCGTCTCTACTAAAAATACAAAAAAATAAGCCAGGCACGCCGGGTGCGGTGGCTCACGCCTGTAATCCCAGCGCTTTGGGAGGCCAAGGCGGGCGGATCACAAGGTCAGGAGATCGAGACCACGGTGAAACCCCGTCTCTACTAAAAATACAAAAAATTAGCCGGGCGCGGTGGCGGGCGCCTGTAGTCCCAGCTACTCGGGAGGCTGAGGCGGGAGAACGGCGTGAACCCGGGAGGCGGAGCTTGCAGTGAGCCGAGATCGCGCCACTGCACTCCAGCCTGGGCGACAGAGCGAGACTCCGTCCCAAAAAAAAAAAAAAAAAAAATAAGCCAGGCATGGTGGCGCATGCCTGTAATCCCAGCTACTTGGGAGGCTGAGGCATGAGAATTGCTTGAACCTGGGAGGCAGAGGTCGCAGTGAACCAAGATCGTGCCACCGAACTCCAGCCTGGGTGACAGAGTCAGATTCCATCTCAAAAACACACACACCCCTACACACACACCCACACACCCCTTTGTGGGACACAGCAAAAAAAGGAGTACATAGAGGACAAATATGCTACTGAACAGATACATTAGAAAGGAAGAAAAATATATAATCAATTATCTAAGCATGTGCTTTAGGAAATTAGAAAAAGCAAATTAAAACCATAGTAAGCAAAAGAAAAGAAATTTTTTCAAATAGTGAAACGGCAAGAAATAAAAAAAAAAAAAATCAAAACCAAAGCCCGCTCTTTGAAAAGATGAATAAAATTGATAAAAATCTAGTCAAGCTAACCGAAGAAAACAAAGAGGATAGAAATTACTAATATCACAAATGAAAGGGAGGATAATGAAAATCAGAAAGCATCTGGCAAAGTACGACTTCCATTTATGATAGCAAACTAGGAATAGAGAGAAACTACTATTTCTTAAGAAAGAACATCTACAAGAAACTTACAGCTAACATCATACTTAATAGTGAAAAACAAAATGCTTTCCCAGTAAGATGAAGAACAAGGCAAGGGAGTCCCCTCATGCAGCATTTCTATTCAACATGGTACTGGCACATAGTGTGGGCTTGCATCAGAAGCCTGTGGACAACTTATGACCATCTGGCTACCTACAGGGGCCACAAGAAGGGGTTGCTAAAGCCTACATAGTCTGGCCGGGCGCGGTGGCTCACGCCTGTAATTCCAGCACTTTGGGAGACCGAGGTGGGCAGATCACCTGAGGTCAGGAGTTCGAGACCAGCCTCAACCTGGAGAAACCCTGTCTCTACTAAAAATACAAAATTAGCCAGGTGTGGTGGTGCATACCTGTAATCCCAGCTACTCAGGAGGCTGAGGCAGGAGAATTGCTTGAACCTGGGAGGCAGAGGCTGCAGTGAGCCGAGATCGTGCCATTGCACTCCAGCCTGGGCAACAAGAGCGAAACTCCATCTCAAAAAAAAAAAAAAAAAAAAGGCCTTCATAGTAAAGGAGTCTGAGGGCATTAATTGCACGGCAGTTTGAACAGTCTAGAAGCCTCTGTGGTAGAAATACCCATTCGAGGTGGGCTAACCTGCAAGTCACAGCATTAATTGGATTTAATTAAAATTTGAGCACAAGAATTATGTTGCCTCCAGAACAAAGAACAAAAGACTCTAAAAGATATTGTGATGGCGAAAAAGTCAATAGCTATTTCTTAGCCTGGCCAACATGGTAAAACCTCGCCTCTGCTAAAACTACAAAAAAATTAGCCAGGCGTGGTGGTGCATGCCTGTAATCCCAGCTACTGGGGAGGCTGAGGCATGGGAATCGCTTGAGCCTGGGAGGTGGAGATTGCAGTAAACCGAGATCACACCACTACACTCCAGCCTGGGTGACAGAGAGACCCTGTCTATAACAAAACAAAACAAAACAAAACAAAACAAAAAAACACGCTATTTCTTCACTATGTCAGGGAGGA